GTCTTTAAACTACAATCCCTGAGACACATTTACTGCACTTTGATTGTCTCTGTTTCACTCGCTGTGTGACCAGTGGATGCACCTGAATTAGGTGAGCTACTGTAAAGGGGATGAACATGTGTGATTTTACAACTTATAGTTCTGATGAATTAACATTATCGTGTTGAACGAGGTTTAGTTTTGTAAATTATTCTCCAAAACGCCTGAATGAGCAGGATTCATGATGAAAGCAATAAAAAGTGAAATTTAAACTGGGGGTAAGTCTCTGTATGGACACTGTACATCAAGGACATCCTGATGACCGCTCGTGTTTCCTTTTACATGTCTGATTAGTAATAATACAGGTGACCAGGTAATTCTATCAAACAATCTTAACAGGTGAAGCGCTGTCGGTGTCGGAGTGTTCTGGGTGTGTGGAGCACAATACCTCTTCCTGGTCCAACATGTAGAGCTGATTTCCGGAGCTCACGCGAAGACGGGGGTTCCAGCGGTCGTGGGGTGCACGATCGTGCGACGGGCGGTCGTAGATGGGGCGCTCGTGGGAGGGGCGGCTGTAGGAGGGACGGTCGAAGGAGGGGCGTTCGAAAGAGGGACGTTCGAAAGAAGGGCGTTCGAAAGAGGGACGTTCGAAAGAAGGACGTTCGAAAGAAGGACGTTCGAAAGAGGGCCGGTCGTAGGCGGGGCGCTCGTAGGCGGGACGGTCGTGAGCAGGACGGTCGTAGGAGGGAGCGTGGAAGGAGTGGGCGTGGGAGCGATGATGGTGATGATGGTAGGAGGGGGGGACGGCACACCTTGCATCTGGAAAGGAGAGAAGGAGGAGAGAGGGGGGTGGGGGGGAGGCAGGAGGGAGGAGAGAGGAGAAGGTCAGTTAGGATGGTCGGCAGGAGGAGGCTGAGACACATGTCTGTCCTCATCACGTCAGCGTCAGGTGACATCAGGGCGCCTCGTCTGCACACGTTAGCTACAGCGAGCTCAGGCCGTCCAGAAGCTGCTGGACGCCAGATTCTGGTTCTGTTTAAACATAATAACATTAATAATAAACGCTTATGAAACAAGACGACCAAAGTGCTTCTCAAAGATGAGACGATGAGCACAGTGACAGGTCATCAGAGGCCTCAACAACTACAGCATTAAATAAACCGAGCAGCAAACTGGTGAACACACAACATGAGTTTTCTTTTTGACCGTATTCTTTCTTTATTGATTCGATTCTGCTTTAACACGTGGCCATTAAATATGAAGATACAGTCATGGACAGTTAGCTTAGCTTAGCTTAGCATAAGCAGCCTCTGACACAACCCCAGTATGACAGGTTAGTGAGTTAGTTTTACAGGTTCTTGCTGGCTCGCTGCTTCACCCTGATTTACAGTCTATACTCCACATTTACCTGGTGAAGCTTTATATGTAAAGTGGTGTCAATTTCTCAAAATGTCAAACTCTTCCTTTAAAAACACATCCGTTAAAACACTATTCCTAATATTTGCATGCCTCTAAACTGCACTCTCTTTTATGTTGGAAAAGATTTTCTTCCCAAAGGGAAGACGTGTGACGTAGCAGAGCGGCATCAGTGTGAAGACGCCACAGGTCAGGATGGTGACGTGAGGTCACGGCGGTGGAGCAGCAGGAAGATCACGGATCATGTCCTGTGTGGGAACATTGTTCCTGGATTTAAGTTTCCTTTCGGTTTTTGCATCAAAGTTTCTTGGTGTCTAGACTTTGGTTTACAACACAACCCTTTCACAACATGTTTGAAGCGTCTCCATCTCCATGGTTACCGAGGCGACATGTCCCATCACATCTCATGTATGATGAGTGGACTGGAAGGGAGCGACAACAACAAAACTAAATCAACGGCAAACATCTGATGAGTTCTAAGGCTACGTTCACACTGCAGGACTTGATGCTCAATGAGGATTTCTTTGTGACTTCCTTCACGTTTCCACTTCAATGCGACTTGTATGTGATCTGCTGTGTGAACTTCATACGAGCCAAAAGTGTCCCGCATGCGCAGAAGAGGCCACGACGGCAGAACAGTGACGTGTAGGTCAGATGAATGCGACCCGGCCGCTCAGACAGAAGTCACACGGCAGAAGGTCAGATCAGATTTAGGACCACATATCCAAGTGGCCCGGGTCGCATTTGAAAAAAATTGGATCTGCATCGTTCAGACTGTCATGAAAAGATCCGATACAGGCCGCACAGGGCAAAAGAATCTGATTTGGGTCACTTCAGCTGCTGTCTGCACGCAGCCGAACATATTCATCGTCCATCATCAGATGTAATCCTGCAGAAAATCCCTCAACATGTGATTGACAATGTGGTTTAGTTTTAAAGGACGGACTGCACGTGGACACACAGAACAAAGAAGAGGAACGTTCACGGAGCATAAGGAACATGTGGAGAGCTCACCGATGCAGGAGTCAACACGCTGGATGGAGCCGCTTCAGTTTTAGCTTTAAACACCTCATATTCTGCACATTCGTGTGTTTGGGGGTCTGTCAGAAGATGTTCATGTCCGTGCTTTATGTTCAACAGACCCATCATTTTGCTCATTCTGCACATTGTTACTGCAGCTCTGTAACTGTCTATGTGAGCGCTGGTTCTGACCTGCAAAGCCCAGAAAAGGCCCAATGAAAGCAAGGTCATGTTGGTTCCACACTGGATGAGTGAAGGGATGTAAAGCTGACAGATGAGGCTATGGTGAGGAAATGATGGCGAGGAAGCTGCTGTGACCAAACTAGTAAAAACCGTTAGGTGGTGACATCGATACAGAAAAACCTGGACTTCAACCACAGAGGAGTGTCAGGCAGGAGAGAAGCAGCGTTTTCTGGAGAAGAGAAGAAATCTGGGCTTTGTAAGGTTTCATATTCACGTTTCACTACAGGAAAAGGAAAACCCAGAAGCATCACATGGGTTCTGTAGAGCCGTCCAGACCGGCTCACTTCGTCCACGATAATGCAGACATGCACAGAAACTGTTTTCCGCTGGCTGTTGTTCTTATGATGCTAATCCCATTCACACAGACAGGACAAAAGCAAACAAAAGAGCCGCTTCCTCTTACGTCTAAAACTTTGCCGAGACAAACGCTAAGCAGCATTAGGCTGAGCAAAGACGCATCTGGAAACACAACAAAGTGAAACTAAAACACACAAACTCTGTGATTTATGGGAGGAAGGCGCTCGACGGCGGCTCTGTTTGATTTCAAAGACTTTATCTGTGTTAGTTTTACAGTCACAGCTAAAAATGATAATTGTCTAATTGAACAAGTCCTGGGTCCATCTCACCACAGCAATCTGCTCATCTGTACCTCGGCCCGCGGCGGTCCTGTCCACCGAAATGAGCAGAAATCTGTTCTGAGGTTCCTGAGATATCCTGCTGACAGACAGACAGAGGAACGGGGCTATAATCTGCTCGGCGGGGGAACGAGTTATCTTTGACATTATCCTCCATTCCCGGGATCGTTTAGGAAGATGTGGGAAAAGAACCAAAATAACATCTGAGGGTCCTGTGCAGCAGATAATTAAAGAAATTGATCACACAGTATCGGAGACATTAATATGGATTTTTTCCAGATAGCTGTTTGACTTGGCCCTAAGTGAGGAATGTGTGGCTCAGGAGCGCCGCTAAATGAGCCACTTTGTCTTTCCTTTCTTTGCTGCTGTCTGAGTCGGCGGCCTAATTGCACCGTCTTAGCTCACATTTAAAGTTATAAATTATAACTTTTTCACACTATAAGGAAATGATAAAGGGAAATTGCAGGGAAACACACCATGAGCGCTGAATAATGCTCTCCAGGCTTTTATCGGTTTTCTGTGCATTTCCGGAGCTCACAACAGTACATAGCATTTCTGTTTCCACACTTTTGTCCGTCTCTGAGACCCTCAGTCTTGTGCATCTAAAGGGCGTCTCTTGATGGATTGCTGCTCTGATATTGACCCTCCTCTTTAGACTCTTTATTTATTCTCTCTGTTTAAGCTCCAGACGGTTTTATTTCTTTTCCATTTAGCAAAATGCAACAACAGCATCTCTCACATGCTTCAGGTTACCACTGCCGCCGAGCAGTTTCCAGCCATGGATGCAAAAGCAAACGTCTGGAGGCAGCTCTGGCCTCACAAAGACGGCCTCCTCTTTTAGAAGTGATCTGGATTTAATGCACGTGTATAAAACTTTCCTTAAAACTCTGCCGGGATCAGCATCACACATCCTAGTTCAGACACGTGAACTAATTTGCACTGAAGCCGAGTGATTTTAAAAGAACACACTGATTTCAAAATGAAATCCTGGAGTAAAGGATTTAAGGAGCATTTCTGCAGAGCGTGAGTCAGTCAGAGGAGCGCTTCCCCGGGGCTTCACACCTCCTGCACTGAGGAAAAGCCAGATTCACACTTACAGCATCTGCAGACTGTACGACAAGGCCGAACACACACACATGTTCACACAGTCACGCAGAGACGAGGCGAGAGGAAGCTGATGTTAGTTTGACCCGGAGAACACACACACACACTATCGTAGCACCTCGCTAACGCTTCGTACCCGACACGCTGCATAAAGTTGTTTTTTTAAACATACAAGACAAAGAAAAGCGATCATGCAGCTGACTGACTGACTCCGTCCCCATGAAGAGCCACCAGCGGCCCACAATGCAACACCACAGCACGTCACAACCGATTACACTCCTGCATCCTCACTTCACGTGTTCTCTCCACTCAGACGGTCGACAGCAGCTCTGCATCCCCGCCTCAGCGCAAGAAGCAGCCGATCCACTAATAACAACTGAGTTGATCTTTCAGGTTCCTGTTTGAATTATGAATCGAGCTGCTGAAATATTGATGAGCTCCTAAACAAGCAGAGCTAATTAAAATGGACTAATAAAGAAATGAAGCGAGGGTGAATCATGGAAACCACATGCGGTCACGTAGCCGGGGAGAGGCTCTCACTCCGGCTTCAGGGCGCTTCAATCACACATTCTGCTGATATGCTGGAATAAAGTTTGTAGTCCTTCTGTTGTGGGGGTGATCACTCTAAATATAACTTTTTGTCCAGTCCTACCAAGTCGCACATACACACACGCACACAAAATCCAATTTGGAAAAACAATATCATGGAGTATGAATCATTGGGGTGGACAGAAACTCCAAACTCCAGGCCATGAATACGGGCCGCTGCATTAAAGGGTCACAACAGCTTCCGCTGAGGCTATTTTTAACAATATAAGTAAGAGAAAAGAGGGTTTGAGAGGGAAAGACTGCAGCACGCAGGCTGACGGATTTCTGTCAGGAACTTCTTCAGCTCATTTGGGCGATTGTTGGCTGCCAGCTGATGGATGTTCATCTGATTGGACTTTTATTCTGTGTAGAACAAGTTCATCCCAGTGCTTTCTGTTCCTGCCACTGACAATTATTTTAATCGTTTCCTCTATAAAGTATTAAAATCAACAAGATAAATCCATCACAGGTAAAATCAGACCAACAAAAACAGCAAATT